GGGGGAGCTTCCCAATCTCCTGATTGGCCCCGCTCTGTGTGTGACAGGTGGCAGCGCACCAAACTCCCTGATCGGTCCCGGCTCTGTGTGTGACAGGGTGAGGCGCCCCAACCCCCCCGCCCCCCACGGGCCCCTGCTCTGTGTGTGACAGGGGGCGGGGCCACATCCTCCCTATCCGCCCTGCTCTGTTCGTGACAGGGGAAGGCGCCCCAACCCCCTGATCAGCCCTGCTCTGTGCCTGATAGGGGGGAGCTCCCCAACCCCCTGATTGCCCTGCCACTCTGTGTGTGACAGAGGAGCTCCCCAACCCCCTGATTGCCCTGGGCCTCTAGTATTTTCTATAAAGATATATCTGCTAAATCAATTGCACAGTTAGTTTTATCTCTATCTTCTACTCTGATCATGAGATATGCAAGTTAGAGGAAGGCTCAAACAGTATATCTAAGACAAAAGTTAGAATGACTTGTATTCAAGCTCCTATGTGATTAAGCTTTATTTAGAGCAACATACAGAAGATTATTCTTTCTCTTACATATATAACGCTGCAGGTCTTGGTCTGTCCTATGCGTCACACACATAGTCCTCTGTCAATTCTGAGCATCTTCTTTCTTGCCTTTTGAGGAAGAAGCCATTTTAAATGTCTCCCATCTAAAGCTGTATTTCTCTTGTCCTGAGATGTCAAGCCCTGCATTTTATCCACCTTTCAGCTGGAAGAATCTGAACCCACAAAATGAAGACCCCTGTCCTCCTCTGTCAGTCCATTCTCCTCTGACCTCCTCCTGAGTGGGGCATCCCTTTTTTTGGTCAGTGGCCCTAACATCCCTTCTATCTGATGGTTCGTTTCTATTTTATAACAATCCAGGCTAACAAAACAGTCTTTGTCAAAGTGGCAGTTTTTTACCTCCCAGACTAGAGCTTCCAAGTGCAATTACAAGAGACCAGGCTTTTAACATATATATAAAATATATATATATATATATATATATATATATATATATATATAATGTAAAATTTTTTAGTTTGGGAACATATTGTTGTATGCAGGTGAGAAATATCCACCTGGTGTCCAAAGACCCTGGTTTGGCAATGAAATCTGCCAGCTCCTCTGCTCTGCTAGCACTTCTGATGCTTTGTGTGGCATGAACTTTTCACATTTCACACAGGCTATCCAGAATGAAACAGTAGATGCTTAGTCATTTCACATTTCACACAGGCTATCCAGAATGAAACAGTAGATGCTTAGTCATGGGCCCGATTCTTTCTGCTAAGGGTAAAATGATGCTTATCATAGCTTTCTCCCCTGGCTTACCCATGTGGTCAAAGAGGAACCCCATTGGACCCTATAATTCAGAAATGTAGAGAGTGTGGGCACCAAGATTGGGTGGATAGGGGAGTGGAAATAATTTGGAATAGAGTAATAATTTCATGTGTGTATATTCCAAAGTGTGGCCAGCCCCTGCTCCTGGTTTTCTCCCACTGCAATACAAGAATTGCTCTTCTGGTGAAGCTGACCTTATCCTTAGTTATAGAATATACTAGAGGCTCAGTGCACAAAAATTTGTGCACTCAGAGGTAGGGGATCCCTCAGCCCGGCCTGTGCCCTTTCGCAGTCTGGAAACCTCGGGGGTGACCACTTGCTGGCTTAGGTCTGCTCCCGGGGATGGGCCAGATGCAATCAGACATCCTCTGGCAGCCCAGGAGCCCTGCAACACTCTTTGTTGCTTAGAGTGTAGCCGAGGGATGTCCACTTGCCAGCCAGGAGCAGGCCTAAGCTGCAGTTGGACATCCTTAGCACTGCTGAGGAGGTGGGAGAGGCTCCCACCACCACCGCTGTACTGGCAGCCATCAGCCTGTCTTGTGGCTGAGCAGAGCGCCTCCATGTGAGAGCTCACTGACCACCAGAGGGCAGCTCCTGCATTGAGCATCTGCCCCCTGGTGGTCAGTGTGTGTCATAATGACCAGTCATTCCCAGTCTTTCTGCTGTTAGGGTCAGTTTGCATATTACCCTTTTACTATATAGGATAGAGGCCTGGTGCACGGGTGGGGGCCGGCTGGTTTGCCCTGAAGGGTGTCCCAGATCAGGGTGGGGGTCCTGCTTGGGTGCCTGGCCAGCCTGGATGACGGGCTGATGGCTGTATGCAGCTGGTCACACCCCCTTCAGGGTAGGGGTCCCCACTGGGGTGCCTGGCCAGTCTGAGTGAGGGGCTGAGGGTCATTTTCAGGCTTGCGGGCAACTGAAGCTCCCAGCCTCTCCTTTTTTTCTGTTTTTTTTGTTTGTTTGTTTTATTCTGGGATTTATTTACCTTCTATAGCTGTCACTGGAGCTGAGAGCTGGCTCCAGCTCTGAGGCCCGGCTCCAGCTCTGAGGCTGCGGCTGGCTGAAAGCAGGTATCTGGGTTTGTTTAGCTTATATAATTGAAACATTGTTGCCATCACTGCCGTTCTAAGCTCTGAGGCTGAAGCTGGCTGAAAGCAGTTATCTGGAGCTTGTTTAGCTTCTATAATTGCAACTTTGTTGCTTAGAGTGTAGCTTAGAGCAGGGCGAGGCAGGCGGGGAACATTGGCTTCCTCCATCACTGGAGCAAGCAAGCCTCATGTTCGCTTCAGCTGCATGGCTGCTGGCCGCCATCTTTGCTGGCAGTTAATTTGCATATCCTGCTGATTAACCAATGGGAAGCATAGCGGAGGTATGGTTAATTACCATGTTTGTCTATTATTAGATAGGACTAGGGGCCCAGTGCATGAAGATTCGTCAATGGGGGGCAGGAGGGGTTCCCTCAGCCCTACCTGCACCCTCTCAAATCTGGGAGCCCTCAGGGGAGCCCAATCCGGGAGTTTCTGTCTGTCTTTGCAATCATATGAACGAATTGTCTGAGACCCCCCAACCCAGTTTGGTTTGTTGCTCACAAAATAATAGAGGCATTTTTTTTTTTTTGCTTTGCTTCATTGGTGGAGATTTCCTGGAAGTTTTAGGATATCTTCCCTTTAATTTTTCCTAGACACTCTGATTTTACTTATGTCTCTCATCTTTGCTTTCCCTCCATCCCTCACTGCAACAGTAACTTGCTCCAGGCTCTAGTGTCTAGGAGATCCGTCTGCCACCAGAACTACGATTCCCAGCATTCCTGGTGCTCTCCGCTCTCTGGGCTTCCGCTTCCGGTCCTGGGGCTGCCATCAGAACTACTATTCCCAGAATTCCTGGTGCTCCCCATGCTGGGAGCAACCCAGGGAGCCACAGCCCCTCAAGCCTCCAGCTCTCCTGCTCTGCTCTCCTGCTCTCCGCCTGGTGACCGAGGGAGCCACGGCCCTCCAAGGGAGCGACTGAGGGAGCAACCGAGGGAGCCACGTCCATCCCCCCAAGCTGCTGGCTCTCTGCTTCTGCTCTCCACCTGGCGCCTGTGTATGCAAATTAACCCATGATCTTTGTCGGGTTAATTTGCATATCCACTCTGATTGGCTGGTGAGCATAGCAAAGGGATGGTCAATTTACATGTTTCTCTTTTATTATATAGGATTGTGAATCCAAAACAATAATGCTTAATTATTCCAAGACTTGTCAGAGGGCTTACAGAGATGCACAACAGGACAGGAAGGAGACTAAGAGAACAACCCTTCCAGAATGGCTATCACTTTAAAAAAGTAGCCATTTGTTTTTCCTGTTAGTCTCTCAGCTCAAGGGAATTTGGGTGATTCTCAAATGAGACATATTATCACTTGAGTTTTCACAAGCCTAGTAGATATAACAAAGTGGCAAAGGCTTCCAAATATACCTTAAAATGTACAGGCTT